GGTTTCAGTCTGGGAAGATTCTTGCTAGAGGTTGTAGCTAATAAACACAGCTGAACTGAATTTGCATTGTCTCTTGGAGTTCCTTGGGCTAAACCTGACACAGTGCAGCTCTCACAAAAATGGCATCGCATGGTTGAAAACCTGGAACTTATGCAAGACCAAGAGGAACCTGGAGCTTATGCAAAGGAACATCTACAGTTCACCCTATCGCTGAACCCTTCCAGCTCATCTATGGCAAACAAGAATCCCTAAAGGCATTTTCTGTTAAATTTGAGACTGCTTTTTCTAATGATAGAAACATTCCTGTTGAGATAAAATCCCATCAACAAACAAGATAAACAAGTCACCCCAAGCTATTGTTTTTCCAGACTGATTTTCAGGACAGACTAACACAGAAGCGCACCTGTCTACATCACTCCTATCTAATGAAAGCAGGAGACTAGGGGGAAAAAGAGGTTGAGATTATTTAACCCCTATTTGTGCAGTTGAACTCACCACTGGAAGCCAAGTTTTCTTCAGTCCCCCTGTTTGTTTCCAGTGGTGAGCTTAACTACCTACCGACTTTTGGCGCATCCGGGCATTTCATTTAAGGAACTGCCAATGGAGAGAGGACAATATGGGATAGCTGTTTAGTATTTAAACTCACCTTCACCCAGCAAGGCTGCAGCTGGCAGGCCATTTCTGCATCTTGCAACGCCTCCTCGCAGCATTTTAAAGTCGAATTGATTTGGGACCGGTTGCAATATAGCAAATGATCAGAAGGAGCTGTAAATAATGGAAACATTGACTGAATATGCTGATAACCCTGTTGCTCTTACTGACTCTCGTTCAGAGCTATGTCTATGTTCGTGCTTCCGGGGAATACTCATTTAACTTTCAGACTTAGAAGTTTAAAATTAACTGGAGTGCTGGCTTCCTCTCCACTCCACCCTGTGTTTCTCTTAGGGACTGCTGTTCCCAGCCATCACGTTTCTCTTACATAAGCACTTTGAGGGTTGCATAAATGTGTGAAATGCCAGTGGAACAGCACCATAACAATCCCGGAAGCCAGAAGGGTGGGGGGGGGGAGGAGGCAGAAAAGGAAAGCAATATTCTGCAATTGTTGCACAGGAGAAAGGGGGTGGAAAAGCATTGTAAAACTCTTTCTGCATACCTAGGCTGAAAAGGAGAAACCGCCTATAAAGATACCGTCCGAATACTTGGTCGCTTTCAAAGGGCGGTGAGAATTCAGGTTGGTTTTGCTGGAAAGTGCCCGTTTTTAAAACAGATTTCCCCAACCAGGTGCCCTCCCGAAACAGCGCAGTTTGATTTTTATAACCTTCCAGCTATAACCCAAACTGGTCGAAGTTGGAAACCAGAGCGGAGAAGATCGTTTTAGACCGTTTCCGCAAGGGTCGCCATTTTAGATTGCTGCAGCAAAGCTGAGTTGACGGTGGGATGCTTAAAGCGAAAAGGTTTGGTCAAAGCAAGAAGTCTCCCACCGGACAGTTCGTTTTAAAAGCTACGTTGAGACCAAAAGGTTGACCCATCCCACGGTTTCCACTGCAGATCAATTCCTGGCTCAAAAAGATTGACTAAAAGACGACGAAGCATTTGACAGTCTCGCCCACTCCCTTAAGGTACCGTAAGACTCGCGCCTGTGTTTTCCCTGCGAGAGAATTACCCACTAGCTGCACTTCTGAAACATGAAAGAGCCCCCTAACTAAAACCAATGGGACACCTCTCCGATTCTACAACACAGCTTCGGTCCAGACTAACGCTCCTGAAAGCCCGAGATTCTTTAGGAAGAACTTCTCCAACGCTTGGAGGAAGGAACTCCACTGAATGCCTCAACCTGGCATCATCCAACTTGAAAACCCTCCTTTGACCCATTCATTAATAGATCATAAACCCAGAGGGCAGGCCAACTGAAAGAATGGCTGGGTGGGCATGTTTGGGAATGCTTTGCTAATTCCTACCAGAGGAACAGGCTTCATCCCATCAGCCAGAGACCGGGGAGGTGAGTCAGCAGTAGCTTGAGCGCACGGGGCAGGGTGACCTGCTGTTGGACGGTCTAGGTTTCAAGGCCTTCTCTTCTCCCCCATCCCTGGTTACACAACTGTTCCTTAGACAGGGGGGAGGATACTTGGTCCAAGCAGCTAGCTTATGCAACTGACTGTTCTCCTGACCTATTTTCGGTTCTGACTTAAACAGAGCAGACTGGCATCCCCCTCTGAAAAGAAACCCATTTCACAGATGGGGGGACATTAGCAACATCCCCCCCTTCCGCTCGTGCTCGATGCTAGCAAATGGTGCATGAATGGCTCTTGCCCTTCCCCGCTGGAATCTCAGCCTGCCAGAACGTCCAATTTAAGAGGTCGCTCAGTTTGAACCCGGTATTGCTGATATTTATTACTAGTATTTCTCTGCTGCTGTATTCCAATGGTCAGCGCAGGCCTGAGAAACAAGCTACAATTTGTTCTTCAAAAGAGGCTTTTCTGCAAAGGCCTCCCATCTAAAGGTCACAAAAGCATCTTCTCCCCACCTTTGGGGGCACAGAATTGTCTGCATTCAGGTATCTGAATTGGGCTGTGATCCAGTGACTGTTCTTCCAGGCACTGATTAAAGTTCTGGATGGTACATTCTACATTTGTTCAAATCTTAGCACTGAACCACATCTTTCTGGGTATTATCCTGCTGTCTTGGGTGTGAGGTAAAGTGTGAATTGCACCAGGAGGGTACAAGGCAGGAGAAGTTTGAGAGATGCTTGTTAATGTCCATCAATAGCCAAGGATCAAAGCTGTGTAAATAGGAGGAAGGACTGGAGAAGTGGATCACTGGAAGGACTAAGTATGACCTATTTGGATGTCCACACTGGCTTGACCATCAAGACTTGACAGCTAATCAAACTTCTGAGAAGATAATGGTTGGTTTGTTGCCCTGTTTTCTTGGTGACAAACAACACTGCAATCCTTACATAATAACTAACTTCAGGCTTTCTACTTGCTACGAGTAGCATAAATCATCACCTCAGGAGAAAACTTCTCCAGGAGTTCATACCTTCACACTTATACTGAGCTACTACACACTAGATTTCAGCCAAGCCTGTTGTGCGAATCCAGTTTATCTATGTTATTTAGAGCTCCTGCTTCACGCAAACTCAAAATGTTGGGCTAACTGAATAAGCCAGAATCCTGGGTAAGCAAGTCCCGCTAATGCAGGTAGGAGTCGAGATGGAGTAAAATGGTTTTCTGGATGTAACATCACTCCCCCTGCCACATGAGCTCCTGGCTGTTAAAAGGAAAGTCATAGTCACAAGCCGTCAACACACAGCAAGTGGTGCCCTGGATGAAACACACAACAACAAACCAGCTGTAAACTGAATCTGCAGGATGGACGAAAAAGAAAGAAAAGGGGCAGGGGGAGATTTGAATAAATGGACAATTTTACAGAAGGCTGCCAACTCTTTCCTGGCCCCTACCCCAGTGCTACTCAGAAATTAGGCAGGGACGTCCCCAGACAAAGGGTCAGAGGGCTGCCAATCGAAAGGCACCGTGCAGCTCTTCCACCAGCCCTTTCTTAATGTCCTCCCCCCCAATCAAAGCCAGAGAGAAGCTCAGAAGTGGTGCAAACAGGAAACAGCCGCACGGAACTGCTCTGAAAAATGGCAGGGCAATTCCACGATTAAAAAAAAACACAATCCAGAGCTGTATCTGTTGCTCCAGGAAGCCCCTTCACCTGTTGAATTTCTGCATGCCAGGCAAGGGCAGGAAACCGGGGAAATTTTAGAAAATCGCACCAGCCCCACCCCTCTAAGCTCAGAGGAGACTAAGCAAGGGGGGGGGGGGGGGGCGCCAGATACACAACAGGGCCGGTTTACCGCGCACATCGACTGCGGCCCCCCATCCCCCCCCGCGCCAAGCGGCCGCCTCCCCCCCAGCCCGAGCCAATGCCCACCTGCCGCTGCAAGGCGCCTCGAGGGCGACACGCGTAACGTGCGAGCGGCCCGGAACCCGCCCGCGGGGAGGGAGAGAAAGTTACCTAAGCGGACGGCCTCGTTGTATTTCTGGAGCGCCGCGTGCAGCTGCTTCTCCTTGTACAAGAGGTTCCCCTCGTGGCGGAGCCGCGACGCCTTCACCTGCCCGGGAAAGCCCTTGGCCAGCAGGTGGCTGAGGATGACATTGACCCGCAGCCGGGG